CCCTGTGCCACCCCCAAGTTAAATATGCCTCAGTGTCCAAGTTCACACTCCTCCAGAGTAAACAGAACACCGGGGGACAGTTGGAGGGGCTCCCCTGTTAAGAAAACAGAAAGGACTTCCGCCGGAATAACAAAGATTAGTCACCAACGGTTAATTAAGGCTTAGAGTGCGCGGTCGTGTATGACCTAATTTAAGTCTGACAACAACCCCGTGAATAAATACCATTATTTACCTCCTTTGCATATGTGGACACTGAGGCATGGACAGATAAATAAACTGTCTCCAAAGTCACATAGATAATGAGTGATGAGATGAGATTCGAATCCAGTCTGTAGAGAGTGAAAGAAGGAGTTGTTGAATATTCTGAGCAAGTTATCAAGATTTGTTGAGTGTCAACCACATAGAATAGGAAGATTATTTACACGGAATAAGTTGAAAGAGAAAATGAATTTCCTGCTGAACTGCCAGACTTGAGCCATCTGGTTGACCCAAGTGATGAGGTAGTTAAGCTTTGGAAGTCTGCTCGGAGGTCTAGGAAGGTGCTGGCTGGTGACATCAAAGGCCTTTATGCTTTCCTTTGACGTTGTAGTGTGGCCCAGGAGGAGATTCGTGACAAACGAGCGGTGAGTAAATAGGTACATGGGTCGGTAGGGGACATCAGGTGGCCCTGACTGCATCTCACACCTCTCTTCTCCCTCCACATATGGCCCCACGAGCCTCCATCCAACATGCCTGGTCCTTTCCCTCCTCGGGGCCTTTGTGCTTACTGTTCCCGTGGCCTGAAACTCTCTTCCCTAGACCTCCATTGGGTTGGCTCCTTCTTGTCCTTCAGCAGGGAGCTGTACACCTCGTCGGTGAGGCTGCCTCTGACCAGCCCTGACGCCTCTGCACTGCCCACTCTGTGACACGTTGTGATGATCTGTCTTGTTTAACTTGCAGTCATGCTTCTCCCACCTGGAATGCAATTCCAGGAGGACAGGGACCTCATCTGTTTTGGCCACTGTGGTACCCCCAGCTGCTGGAACTGTGCCTGGACTTGATGTGGTTATGAATTAAAGAAAGAATGACTGTGCCATGCATGGAGTTCGTGAGCATTTGACCCTTATTCTCAGTGGATTTCAGGGCAGGGGAAGTGAGAGGTCACAGTTTTCAGAAGGATGGAGAAAAGGAGATGTTATTCTTCAGAGAAGCACAAAGAATATGAATATCTTATTAGATTTAAGAGAAATAATTATACATGATCTGCCACAGTTTGTCCAGGGGTAAGAGCCCTGTGCCTTTTCCCCTTTTAACTCACCTCACTGCCAAGTTCCCCTGTGGGTTCCGTGCCCACCCCAAGGGAAATGACCCTACCTGGGGGTTTCTGTGGTTAAAACCACCTAACAGTCATCAGAGCTGGTATGTCTTCTATTGATGAACATTTGGTTGTTTCCAATATTTTACTATTAAAAACAATGCCTTAGTGAATATAACTGTCAATTTCCACATGGATGGTGTATCCAGGATCAATTCCTAAAATTGAATTTCAGGGTCAATAGATCTGTCCATTTAACACATGTCTATGCATGTGGCTATCCTCCCGCCCCTCATTCCCTGAAACAGCAATGAAGGAGAGACCATGAGCTATTCATACAGGTAAGCTTTAGAGAAATGTCATGGTTCTATTGGTTGTAAGCAACCAAAATCAATTCTGGTTAGCTAAATTTTTAAAAAGGGAGAGATTTGAAAGAATATTGAGGAATCTCATGGAATCCATGAAATTATTGAACTATGAGACCCAGGGAAACCCAAGAAATGGGGCCATCCTGGAGACCTCAGTTGTCCTCAGATCCCCTCTGCCTTGGACCTGATTCTGCTGCAGGGACCCCCTGGCTTGGTGCATCTCAGCTCAGAATTCTTAATTATCAGGTGATTGGCCTGGGTAGGTCAGGAGCTGTTCCTGAATTATTTAGCAATGGGGAGTGTCTCCATTTTGGCAAGCCAGGCTGAGGGGACCCACCCTTGTGCACCCAAAGATGGAGCTGAAGTTGTGAGCTGGGCAGCCACTGCAAGAGATATGTGGTTCTGCAGTAAGGAAATGGCAATTCTAAATCAGCTGCCTCTGCCCAATTTGTACAAAAGTTCACAGTCGGTGGCTCAGTGCTGGTAAGGAGGGGATTTCTTTAAAAGTATTGTGTTTATCACATCTTGAAATGATGAAGAGGTGATTGGCATGAGTTAGCAAGGGTGAATGATATTGAGGATATCGTGCTAAGTGAAATAAGTCAGATGGAAAATGTCAAGAACCATATGTTTTCACTTAATATGTGGGACACAAAAGTGCAAGCAATAAATGAACAAACAAGACAAACAAACAAAAATTCATAGACACAGACAACAGTATGGTGGTTACCAGAGGGAAAGGGGGTAGAGAGGAGGTGAAATAAGACAAAAGGGCATCAAATATATGGTGATGGAAAGAGACTTGACTTTCAGTGGTGAACACCCAATGCAATATGCAGATGATGTATTACAGAATCACACACTTGAAACCTATATAATTTTATTAATGAAAGTCACCCCAATAAATTTAATAAAAAATTTTAAAAGAGTGAACAATGTCTGTGGAGACTGGATTTCCTGATTAGCAAATCTGACCAGGACTGTTGTGTTGTTTTAGGAAGAAGCAACTCTCCATTCATGGGCATTTTTTGTTTGACAAGAAGCTGCCATGGAGAAAGTCAAAAGTGAGTGAACCAAAATGGTGCCTCACTCCTGATGACAGCAGTGAGAAAAAGGCAGTATAACAAGACCAGAGCCTAAAGTCTGCACTGACCCCTCACTGCAAAAACCCTCTGATAGCTGACCTGTTTCTTCCCCAGCCCCCAGCTTCCCTGGATGGAGAAATAGGTTAGAGAAGGTGATAGATGGATTGTGAAAATGGTTACAGTTCTTCATACTTCCCCAAATAGCCATACCTTCTGCAGTGTGATCTTGCAGCTCCTTTCATCAACAAATGAAGTCTATTTCCCCATCCCTTTGGCTAGATATGTGACTTGATTTGGTCATTAAATGTGATGGCAGTAACCACTTGGACCAGCTCAAAGCCAGCTGACCCCCAAGTATGTGAGAGACCCAACCAAGATTAATAGCACTGCTGACTCAACACACTCTGACCACAGACACATAAGTGAATCCAGCCAAGACCAGAAGCAGCACCCAACTAACCCAGAAATTACTAATATATGCTTACTGTTTAATGCCACTAAGTTTGGTGGTAGTTTGTTAGGCAGCAGTAGCTAATCAATACACGAACCCAGCTCAGTCAGTTCTGGGACTCAGAAAGAACATTGTACTCACTGTCACCATTCTTGAGCACACAGCATCAGTTAGGGGTGTTATTTCCTAAAACCCACATTTCATCAGTATGCCCTGTACTCTAAAACACTGGCTCCTGTTTAAATGCCCTGAGGCATATAATTGGACTAAGCCCCTAGCAAGACTGGGATCTAACCTGCATCTCCTTCAGAGCCTCCTAAACCAATGAATTCATTCCACACCAGATGGAAAGATTTCTTGGTGAGGCTTTCAAACAGCAATAAAAACTGAAATATGTTGAATAAACTTATATCCTGCTCAACTTCAGGAATTCAGGTTTTGTATTCACACAAATCTGTGGCTCTCTTTTGAGGCAATGATTTCATTTCCACTGAACAGCTCTCCTGTCTTCAAAATGTAAAACTCCTTGAAGGTCACAAAGATACAGATGAGGTCTCCAGCTATCATCTGCCGTGTCTACACATCCAGATGGAGCCAAATCACTGCTTTCCTCCAGCCAATCAGTTCTGTCTTTGTTTTCTCCTTCAATTTCAAGTTCAGAATGCTCAGATACCTTGTCATCTCGATAGAGAACCATCTTATGAATTCTGGGGGAAGAGTAGGATTGATTCAAGCTGGGTTCTCAGAGTCACTTAATTCCAAAGAAGTGTTTGTTCTGAAAAGGCTGTTTTTCTAAAGCTTCCTTACAGTCTAGACACTCACCGGCATTCAACTGAATGAGGCACACACAACATGTAGCCCCTTTAAGAAATTTACAAATGGGATATACAGTCAAGTAAACAAGCAACTGATATGGAGAGATAAGTGCTGAGATGGAGGAAGTCCTGGGCACAGCCGGGATGTGGTGAGGTGGTCTATATCCAGTCTTCAGGGGTGTGTGTAATGGAGGTAAAGAAAGTCTTTCTGGAAGAAGCAACATTCACACAGACAGGAAGTTTATCAGTAGGAGTTAAATAGATAGGAAGATAGGAGAAGAAACATCCCAGGGAGAGGAAGAGTTTGCACGAAGGCCCAGCAGCATCCCAGATCAAGGCCCTTCTAGGGGACAGTGACAGTGTGTAGAACTCCAGAAAGAATGTGGTGAGAGATGATGCTGGAGTCCTAGGTGAAAACCAGACCAAGAGGGTCTTTGTAAGGCTCACTGAAGAATGCGGATTCTATCTCGGGGACCATTGGGAAGATCTCTGATTTGTGCTTTAGGAAAATCAAAGAGGCTGCAGAGAGAAGAGGGGTTGGAGGGAGCCCCACGGGGAGCAGTTAGGAGCATCGGAAAAGCTCAGTCCTCACCTCCTTGTGTGTCATCTCTCCTGAGATGTCTGAGGAGGAGCAGATGGTGGGAAAAACAGCAAAGGTGGGTACTTGCCATGTGTGCCCACCAAGAGGGGGTCATTTTGGACCTGGGCATTTGCCTTAAGCAATAAGGCTGACATCAGTAATAGTATTAATGGACAATATGTCAATATCAAGGAAAGAATATTTCTAAGCTCAGTGCCACATAATATTTGGCACCATTCAATAGTTGTTTTTGGTTCTTCAGACTAACTTCCAAGTTTTGGATTTTAATCATTATATACTAAAGTTTCATTGGAAAAATGAACTCATGATGACAAAGAGAGGAATATATTGCTTCACCATTAGATTTTATTAGCAATAAGAGTCAGTGGTCAGGTGTCATTAGGCTCCTAACATGGAGTGAGAGTGAGCAGAACATCTTCCCTCACAGTTCCTTGACTACAGAAGTTGAACCTGCAGAGAGAAAACAATGAAAAGTCAGCTCATTGTGGTCCACAGTTGGCATCTTGAGCATGGGGCCAGGGTCTGCTCTCCTCTCCCTCTGAGTGAGGGGCACACCTGGTGCCTGAGACCAGACATTGGTAGAGGGAAGACCTCTGTTCTGTGTAAAGGTCTGGATTCTCCTTTTCGATTTTGTTCATGGCTGTGCAATAGCAGAGAGAGGAGATGTCCCTGGACACCTCAAAGGTCAGGGAAGACTCATTTGTCACATTCTAAAAGCATCTACTGAACACTTGGCACATTGTCAACCAACAGAACTTAAGAAGAGTAAGGTCAACAGCATGACAGGAAATCAGCCAAAGTAAACATTTCGAGGCCCTGTAAACTGAAATGACTAATTGTGCTCATTAAAACTGAAGAATACTTAGGATGATTTGGGGCTAATTTTCTTTAATAAATAAGCATATATAAAATTCCTGGCACATAAAGTCCTCAGGAAATGCTCTTTTCTCTTCATCTTCATTTCCTTCTCTGTGGTCTGATGGCAGGCAACTCACAAATGGTGAATTAAATGATAAAAATGAATATTGATAAAAGACACAAGAAATAAAGGGAACACAATAACTGTATATGAATAAAGGTGAACTGAATTTGTTTTGTAGTAGTTAAGAATTTGCTGGATTGACTCCAGCATTCATTTCTGCATATGAATTCTGGCACTAAGTCTTCATTTAATTATCTGTAAAATGGGGATAATACTAGCACCTACCTCCCATCACTACAATCAAGAGAGTAAACACATCTATCACCTCCAAATTTTCCTCCTGCTCCATTGTAACCTTTTCTCTCTATCCTTTTTCATCTCCCCACCTTCTCAGGAAACCCCTGATCTGCTATTACTATGGGCTCATTTGAATTGCATAGAATTTTATATGAATTGAAATCAAATATGTATGCACTATTTTGTCTTTTCCAACTGATATATTTCCATCTCCCTGAAAACCTTCCTTTAACATTTCTCATGTGGATCCACTGGTAATACATTTTTTTTCAGCTTTGGTATATCTGAAAAGTCTTTATTTCATCTTTATCTTTGAAAACTATTTTTGTGGGTATAGAATTCTAGGTTAACAATTTTTCCTTTCAATACTTTAAAGATGTTTCACTGTCTTCTCACTTGCATTTCTGATGAGAAATTTGCTGTAATTATTATCCTTATTTCTCTGAATGTATATTTTTCTTCTGGCTGCTTTTAAGATGATCTCTTTATAACCAGTTTTGAGCAATTTGATTTTGATATGTGTTGGTTAGTTTTCTTCATGTTTCTTGTCATATCACTTGGTTCTGTGGGTTTATAGTTTTCACCAAGTCTGAAAATTTTTGAATCATTGTTTCTTAAAATATATTTTTCTGTCTCCTCCTTTAGGGTCTTCAATGAGAAGTATAATATACTTCTTGAAGTTATTTCACTGCTCGCTGATGGTTTTTTTTTCCACTTTTGAAATCTTTATCTCTGTGTTTATTTTGGATAGTTTCTATTATGCTTTTAATTCACTAATCTTTCTTCATCGATGTCTAATCTGCTGTCAATTGCACCCAGTGTACAGGGTGGGGCAAAAGTAGGGTTACAGTTGTCCATATATAAAATAATTCAATAATTAACAAATAATAATAATACCATAATGCTCACAACTGCAAAACTACTATTGTCCTACACTGTTTTTGTTTTTCTATTTCAAATATTATAGTAGTAGAAATTAAATCAGACTCTTCTTTCATATATACCATGCCTCTACTGAGTTTCTGGACAAATAAGATACAAGTTTAGCCCTGGCCGGTTTGGCTCAGCGGTTGGAGCGTCTACCTGCGGTCCGGAGAGACGCGGGTTCGGTTCCCGCTAAGGGCATGTGCCTCCGTTGCAGTTTGTCCCCGGCCCTGGTTGGTCGTGCGGGTGGCAGCCACTCGATGTGTCCCTTTCACATCGATGTTTCCTTCTTTCTCTCTTTCTCTCTCTCCCTCCCACTCTATCTGTACAAAAAATGGAAAAATGTCCTCGGGTGAGGATGGAAAAAAAAAAGATACAAGTTTAATAACTGTTTTGATGTCTCTGCCTGCTATTATAACATTTGTGTCAGTTCTGGTTTGGTTTTCATTGATTGATTATTCTCTTCATCAGAGGTTGCATTATCTTGATTTCTTTGTATACCTGAGAAACTTATTTAACATCATATTGTATGGATTTTAGCCTGTTTTCTGCTGGATACTTTTGTATATTTACAAATTTTCTTGAGCTCTGTTATGGAATGCAGTTAAGTTATTTGGAAACAATTTGAAACTTCCAGGTCTTGCTCAATCTAGGCTAATTGTTTCCCGCTACTGAAGGAAGACCTTCCCAAATATTCTACCTAGTGTTTCCTGAATTATAAGCTTTCCAATTTGGCTACCAGAAACAAGTACTATTCCCAGCCTGGCAAGATTAGTGGGCACTGTTCTCTCTAAGTCTTTGAGGTAGATATTTCACTGGCCCTAGATCGTTTCCCCACACATGTCTGCTGCATATTCAAAGGAACTTTCTAGATTTCTGAGATTCTCTCTGTAGCTCTCTTTCCTCTCTGGTACTCTATCCTTTGAAATTTAGTTACCTTGGATTTTCTGGATTTTTAGCTCTGTCTTCTGAACTCAGGAAGTCCACTGGATTCAATCTGAACTTTTCCTCCTTGTGAGACATCCTGGAAATACTCTCCAGGCAGTAAGCTAGAACATCTGTAAGGCTCAGCCTTATTTGCTTCTTGTCTCTCAGGGGTCACTTTCCTTTGTTGCCTGATGTTCAGTGTCTATAAAGTATTATTTTATATATTTTTTGTCTGAATTTTTGGTTGCTTCAGTCGGGAAGGTAAATCCAGTTGCTGTTGCTTCATCTTTGCCAGAAGCAAAAGACCCCTCATTGGGCTTTTATGGAGACTGAATGATATGAGGACAAAGGAAGCATAGCACCGTGCCTCAGAATGTGGCTTCATACTCAAATCACTGGGTTAATATTGGTTTGGGGATGATTAGCATCATTATCAGCTCACTATTTCTGGTGGTTCACCATGCTAACGATCCTTTGGCTCACACACACTTTCGTTTTAGTTAGAATCAAAGGTTGACCTTTGTCTTCAGGAAGAGGGCTGATGATCCAGAATAGCGTATTTGTATTCCTTGATAAGCTAAGTGTCTTCCTGACGATTTAAGTGGCAATTTGATGAACTCAGGACATTTGGGGTAGATACATAGCACAAGGCACAGCAGCTGAATAAAATCATTCTTCTCACCTTAGATCATGAAACCAGATTCTCATTCTAATACAACTTGTGTTAGATAACAACACTCATCTACAAATCCATTGTAGTTGTTTTCCTAAAGTTCTACACTTTCTCCTAAAGAAACAAAAAATATCAGGAAGCAGCTGTGGGTGGGATGTAGAAGAAACATTGCAGGAGATTTAACTTCAAGCAAACTCACAGTGGGAATAGAACTATAAGTGTGATTCAACACTTCAAATCTGTTTGGATTTTTATTACTTACACTTTTCCATCATTTCTTTCCACCGTGATCTGGGATGCTCCCACTCTGGGTAGAGTTGGGTTGATCACATTGTTATACCAAACAAATTTAACCACCTGCAACTCTCCCACATCCACATCGGAGTCAAATTCATTGGAATGAATACTGTCTGGTCGGAGAACGCCCCTTGGGAATGAAAAAGTTAATGAAAACATACATGAGCATACATAAATATACATACATGTTTCTAAAAGTAGCTAACAGTGCATCTTTAGTATGATGATTAATAGTACATTTGTCATTCTAGTGTTTTGGATAAATGCAGACATCTATGCTAACTCAGTGGTATTTTGTCAACCATCAATAATTCATATTACTTCAGTCATTCTTACTTTAATAAGACTTCAAACACGTTTTAGTCATAATCCTCCCACAATTTCATAAGTGATGACATCATTATGTCATCTTTTCCTGGTTGTTTTGTGGACAGAATGATTATTTACTGATTATAAATCAGATGCCACTCATCAAAGTAAACATTGGGTATTTTCTCAGGAAACCGCAGAGAAAAAATTAGAAACACAGTTCTGAAATGTATCAAGGTGCAAGGGTGAAATAATCTCTTCCTTTTGATGATATGTGGCAGTGCCATATGCTCATATAGTAATAAATAAACTCTTAAGTCCATAACATACATTGACTGTGGGAGGTATTCCAACATTTAAGAAACTTAGAGTTCATTTTACTCACTTGAAAATTTCGTACTGCTTAGAGTTTCCCATGTCTCCAAACAAAGAAACTAGCACGTGTCCTCTAACCTTCTTTCCGGACAGAGTAACAGTGACCTTATACCTCCAACCTGCAGGGGGTGGTGGTGCAAAATGTCAGTTTGCGGAGAAGATACACTAAAAACGAGCTAACTTGAATTCCACTATTGCTGCATTTTGAATAATTCATATATGGTATTGGTAGTTCTTCTAACAGCCTTAGACATTCCTTTATCTAAAAGTTCAGAGGACGGGCATTGGGGGAAGGGAAGAGCATGAAATCTTTCCAAAGTCAATAGATTGCCAAAGTCAAAGACAAGGGAAAAGGTACTATCTTTTGCTTTCAATGTTTTCAACCTATTTATTCTTAAATGTTAGAAGAACTTTATGTTAAATCATAGGAGAAAACAGTAGACTATGACATTGTCATCAGTTTACTTCATTTTCATAGATCATATTTTAGAGCACTGTCATCTTTTTGTCTAAATAGTCTACATTTGTTTTTAAAATTCTACAATTGAACTTTCCATTGTCAATGGCAATGAACTAATTTGTGGTAACTGATTCATGATACTAGTCAATAGTAAATTACCCATTTTTACCATTTTGAGCTAGTCTGGGATATTTGGGGGGTGGGATACAATTTGGCTTTAGTTTTTACAATGCAGCTAAGCTCATTGATTCCCAACAGAATTGTTTTCTCCTCTATTACCTAGAAGAGAAGCCTGGCATCTCTAATCCGAGCACCCCTGGAGTCTGCAATCCTAAATATCTCTTGAATCTGTCCATTCCTTTTGGTTTCCACAACCTCTGCCATCTCTCTCCTGAATTACTTTTCTCTCTATACGAAACCTCAGAATGTCGCTCAGTGAAACTTTTGACGGAATTATGACGAGGCTGGAGTAGAAGCAGCCTCCTGAATTCAGCACCACAATCAAAAGTAAAGAAAGATATTCTTGTTTCATTCATCGTTTAGTCCCCAGACACTGTTCTACCATCCAAATGAGCTGAGCACAGCATTTGAGTATTTTTCCACATTAGGGAGGGGTGTTTCAAACTCCTGTACAGAAAAGCGATTTTACGCATTTCACTGGGCATGAGAAAATACATAGTGTTAAGACTTTAAGTCAAACCAAATAGAGACTTACGGGCAAAATTGTTGGCATCACCAGTGTTTAGATAAAATGTCTGGCCTACTTCCTTTGTTTTCCCAGCAAATCTGTCTGCATAATGACCCATCTGTGGGCAGCCTTCGCTTGGACAGGGGAAGCATTTGTTCTGGGGAAATAAACAAGTGGCAAATGAGGGCACTCTTTCTTATAACAGTGCATGATCTTTTCTTCATGTGTTGTTACAATTAAAATATTCTGTTCTGGTGGTAAAAGAGGGTTTAACAGTGTCTCAGCAAAAGCTAAAAATGCATCTCATTATTTACAGTGATGAATCAGCAATTTCACTGGTAAATGACACAATACTAACAAAATATAAAAATCACACAAAAGAGAATTTATGTTTAAATTTATATATACATATTTTAATCTTTTCCCCTTTGCTCCAAGCGCCCCAACATATTCATCTTCCTGCAGGTGGTTAGAATTTATTTTAGAAAGTTTGCAAGACATAGGGCAGGAGGTGATAATTAGTCCTTGATTCACAAAATAGGATCCAGTAGGAGGACAAAGACTCAAAAGTCAGGTTTGTCTCAATTCCTTTAGCTCTCACTCAGCATAGCCAAGCCTAGAGAATTCAGATCTCAGAATTCTCTCAGCGTGGAGAGAAATTGTCCCAGTTGGATGTTTAGAATTAGCCTTAAGATTGGAGTCTAGAAAAGACGGACATCATACAGAAACTTCAGGCCAAGGAATTGTGGGAAGAAGAGAGGGAAAGGAAGGAGCAGAGCGGGAAGGACAAACAGCATTTCCACTATGGAAGGGCAAGGTCGTTCTACTCCTGGATCCGTGGGCCAGGGGGGGACTGTGCTGAGTGTACAGGGTCTGCATCCGGCAAAAGCTAAGGGGAAACCGAGCCAGGAAAAATGGCCAAAGTTCTCTGAGGGGATTGCCTAAGCCAGAAGAGTAGATGCCCCCCGAATTCACCATCAGACATTTGCTATGGGCCCATCAATTAGGCAGACCCCAAGTTCTCCCTCTGCCCAGGACACGCTGACCACTGCCACCATGATCATCTTGTCTAATATCAGCTTGGAATGAAAGGCTGAGAAATCTGCAAGACTGAGAATGTTTTTTATCAAAGTGTCTGAGCATCACCTAAAAGGACTTTTTCTATTACTGAGTCATATTAAGTTTTAACTGAATGAAAACTTAAATCTTCTGTTTGTTTTCCCCATTACTTAGGGAACAGAGATTTGGGAGGAAGATAAAAATAAAGTTAGACTAAAGAAGGAGGGTGTTCTAGTTGTATATGTAAGCTGCACTGTTAATAAAATATGCACACACCTCCCCCTAACACACACATAATAAGCCACAGTTGTTGAATGCTAATTATTATATTTTAGGTTCTGGGCTAAGCAATTAACATGTCATCTCATTAAATCCTCCCACCAAATCTATGAAGTCTACCATTATTATTTTCATTTAGAAATGAAGAAATTGCCTTAGAAAATTCAAGTATTTTGCCCCAAATCATTCAGCACTTTAAAGGTGAAACCTGGATTTATATTCTCTCTCTTCATCACTAAGGCATATCTTCTTGGTAACTATGACTTCACCTGGCATATTACTTGAAATTTTATTTATTAAATGACATAGGTTATACATTTTCATTTGGAAAAAAAGGTATAGTAAAAGGAAAATCAATTAAAAATAAATAGCCAACAGATATGTCATATTCAAGATCACATTTGAAGATCTTAACCTAGAAGTCTAGAGAATACCAAACAAGATAAAAACTTGAAAAAAACTTGACAATTATGATATTGCACAGAAATATCCACATGCTCATTATTACAATAGTTTTATAAGACCAGCGTTTAAGACACATTTTCTTTTTTTTTTTTTTTAAATCCTCATCCGAGGACATTTTTCCATTTTTTGTACAGACAGAGTGGGAGGGAGAGAGAGGAAGAGAGAGAGAGAGAAACATCGATGTGAAAGGGACACATCGAGTGGCTGCCACCCGCACGACCAACCAGGGCCAGGGACAAACTGCAACCGAGGTACGTGCCCTTAGCGGGAACCGAACCCGGGTCTCTCCGGACCGCAGGCGGATGCTCTAACCGCTGAGCCAAACCGGCCAGGGCTTCTTTTTTTTTTTATCCTCACCCGAGGACATTTTTTTTTGTTGTTCAGGTAGAGTGGGAGGGAGAGAGAGGAACAGAGAGAGAGAGAGAAACATCGATGTGAAAGAAACACATCGAGTGGCTGCCACCCGCACAACCAACCAGGGCCGGGGACAAACTGCAACCGAGGTACGCCCCCTTAGCGGGAACCGAACCCGGGTCTCTCAGGACCGCAGGCCGACGCTCTAACCGCTGAGCCAAACCGGCCAGGGCTTAAGACACATTTTCTATGTTCATCAGCATCCTATAGCCACAGCTCAGATTTCCATAGACTATTTTTTTGACCTAGAATTATTTCCAAAACAAGATTGAACATTTATCTGCCACGTGCAAAAGTGAGAGAGCAAGATAGACATGAGACATTTCAGTAGACAAACCAGTTTCTCGAAAGTTCCCCAGTACCTTCTCTCTATTAAAATAAATCTGTATGACTAAACTATGGCAGTCACATAGCCAAGCCTCCTGACTGCATGTCATGGACAGGGGAGCACACCAGCCATGAGACATGGTGGTCCCAAAGTCCTTCGGGGTCAAGGTGGAGTCTACTTACTTCAGTGAAAGCCTTGTAAGAGGCACAGGGGAAGCCAGCAAAGCCGTCAGGGTGGAGGATGCTGTCAGAGTAATACTTGTAGCTTCTCAGGTGGTTACAGGCAACAAAGTCACGAGAGCCTTAAAATCAGACATGACTGCGAATCAGCGACAGAGCTTATTTTTCCAAGTTAACGTCATGATCAGAATATAGTCAAGTTGTTGAATAGATTTCCCTAATTAGGGTGAACACATGGTGGTCACAGGATAAAATCATCTATGAACTGCATTTATGATTCGTGATGAAATTAGCAGTACTGTTTAAGCGGATAATAGTTATGCTATAGCTAATGGAGAAATAACATTAGAAGGAAAAGATAGGTCCGTGTAGTTATACATATATAACTTAGTAAAGCATTTTCTGAATTTGATCCTTGGAAAGTTGACTACAAATGCATTTTCTTCCTTGCGGTCTCCTATGGCACGTCCCCCTACGAAAAGCCCGTACTTGGAGATACAGTTAAAAGTCCTCTGTGTTATAGAAAACGTGAGGCCTGTACAATGCCAAAAGAGTTAGCAACTTTAGCAGAACAGGACACAGATTTCCCCCCAAGAAAAACCTTTCATGCGCACAATGGTTTTACCTTCCCAGATCCCATCGATGTCAACAATCTGAGAGAGAATGTTCTTCTGGCAACCGGGCATCTCAATCCCTCCATTTGGAAAGAAATCCAGGTGTCCCACGATTTGGCTCATTCCAAACCCTGAGGAATTTTAAAATATGCGAAAGATGATGTTAATATGTGGACTGAAAACCCTCTAAAATACTCTGAAGTCCGGACCCCAAAACCACCCTAGGAGGACAAACTGAGGAACTCACCCATATTGGGGATGATGGGGGCAGCGTCCGTGTGAATCACATCCACAAACTGAGCATCACTAGAGTCCAATCGGACTAATTCGGGGGTCCCCTCAAAGCATGGCTCAGCTGGGTCCAACCCTGAAGACACAAGATGTGTCATATTAGTATCGACCGGTGTGCCCGCACCTCACCTGCCTTCGTTAGTGCCCAACCTGTGCCAGCGCTGGCGGTCACTGGGAGTCATGCGTGGAAGAGTCTAGCTGGTTCTTTCCTACCTTAGCATTTCCTGAAGGCAAATCTGTGTCTCACTGACTATTCACACTGAAGTGAATGTTCCTCAAACTGTGCGATGTGGCTGTATTCACAGATACTTGCTCACGGGGACAACCCCGATCCTAGCAGCAGTTACAAAGAAAGAGCCAGACGCTGGGAAACACCGGACTCCTAGAAGCTGCTCTGGCGAAAGGGGTCCCCTCTCGACTGTGACATCCCCTGAGGGCCAGGACCGTGGCTTTCACGGTCACCAGGACCACAGCTGCGCACAGTGCCTGGCTGACGCGGCTCCGTAAACATTTACAGACTGTGGGAGAGAACATTCTCCCCAGCAATGAATGATAGACATTCCAGATGCCTCCACCAATGCCAACGTAGCCTACTTATCCGAAGGAGTCGAAAGAAAGTCCGAGTGGGAGGGCAGAGGAGCAAAGTGGCTGTTTCCTGGAAAAGTCATCTGTCAGATGCAGGATAGCAAAGTCCTTCTTAGAAACTTATAGGGCTGTTGTAGGACCTGAGCATCCAACATGTGACCCCAATGGCCCGATGCAAGTAGTCTGAGATTTGTAAAATAGTATGTTTTATCTAATTAGCCGCACACAGAACTGGCAGCCCAGGGCTGCCTGACCACCTGCCTCCCACTCAACTCTTGGGTTGTGGTTGATGAAATTTGGGCTAATTATTGATGGCTATTGAATCAGAATATAATTAATTATATGTTTTTGAGCTCTTGGGGTTTAATTCTATTTATTTTTATTCTATTACTTATGCTGTTTATCTTCTTCATGACACATGTCCTTTGTGAATGCTTGAATAGGGGAAAATAGATAGAAATACAATTCTAGATGTTTTTAATTCACATTTTAGTCACATGCAATATTTATTCGTTAAACAGGGCTCTGTAGGCCGAAGATTGGTGTCAATAAAAAATTCACGAGGGCTCAGCAGACGCTGATTTCTGATTATGTGGCCCAGTTCAGGAAATGTGAAAACCTGCCTCCTGTGGTGAAAAGCAGAACTGCACCAGATTTCCATCCTTTCAGACACCACGTGGGCTACATGTCGTCTAATTTTGTGGCTGTTACTGTTTTGACCCACCTGTGATCCGTGCAACAGTCCCATTGGTCCTCCTTCCCGCCTCCCCAGCAGCGTGGGAGCCCAGGCTGTGGCCGATGATATGCACGTTGGAAGGCGAATACCCGAATGCCGACTGTTGGGAAGAACACGTCATCAGAATGTTTTCAAAAACTGAAATTCAACATGGATACAGACGGGAAACCTCTGAAAACTTGAGTTTTAAGAAGACATACTCCCCACCCTTCAAAGCCATTAATTCTTATAATTTTTTTTCCGTTATAATAGAAAACGGTGATGAGTTTTTTGTTGTTGTTGTTGTTTTTCAATGGTGATGGTTTTAACATTTAAACTGGTAGAATTAGGGCTGTGTTGTTGTTTTGCGATGCAGAGAGACCCTTTGATGGATATGAGCAATTGTTACCCAGAGGTAGTCAAGTAAGTATCTGGAGCAGGAAATGATATTCATTGTTTAGGCATGCTCAAGTTTAACATTTTCTTTATTTTTAGTAAGAAATAAGGTTGGCCTGTAATCATTGTGCTTCTCTTAAAAAACAAAAAACTAGTTTAATCTTGAGGATGACATTGTCATGTCAACTCGGTTGAATAACTTGTAAGATTAAAGAAATCCCGGGGGCCCTGGCCAGTTTGGCTCAGCGGTTGGAGCGTCGGCCTGCGGTCCGGAGAGACCCGGGTTCGGTTCCCGCTAGGGGCACGTGCTTCGGTTGCAGTTTGTCCCCGGCCCTGGTTGGTCGTGTGGGTGGCAGCCACTCGATGTGTCCCTTCACATCGATGTTTCTCTCTCTCTCTCCCTCCCACTCTATCTGTACGAAAAATGGAAAAATGTCCTCGGGTGAGGATAAAAAAAAAAAAAAAAATTAAAAAAAGAAATCCTGGGGACATTCAGTAGAACAACCTACCTGGTTGCTTGGATAATATCACATTTAAAAAAACAAACAACTAGTTTATTGACCTCAATAGGCATAACGATGAAGACCAAAGACCGAATCTGGATTTTGTGTGCGTGTGTGCTTTTTTTTTTAGCCAAGGGAAAGTGGATCTCAGCAGAGAACTGTCCTTAGCAATTAGCATACCTATAGCATCTTGTTGTTGTTCTTTGGAGGAGAATCCAGAGAGCAATGTGCATGAGCTTTTACGTGCAAAAGTTACCTGAAGGACTTCAATGAAGTAGGCCACTTCTGCCCCCACAATCCGGATGTTCTGTGAGGCCTGCGTGTACCCCGTTCGGGAGCCGCTCTTCCAGTCCACACAGATGCAGTTCACGCTTTCCACCTGGAACATGTTCTGGCGGGAGAGGCACACGCATAGGTAAGTGATTCAGAATCTGTCTTAATTCCCAATGGATACATTTGCGACCCAGGATGTACAATATCATGCTTGCTTTTAACCCCAAAGCAATGAATAAAACTTCTCTTCTATTAGGGATATGGAGACCTTTTTAAAGTTTAACACTGACTTCAAACTGGAGGGATGGTCATAATGGGAACTGGATTCTTGAGGTTTCTACTGCAACAGTTACATAAACAACTGTTTCAGGGGGAAAATATGTAAAATGTGGTACATTGAGTTGTCTCATTAGAGCCTCATAATGTCCTAAGACCACACCATCCGTTACTAAAATATGCCCCAGGACATTGCCTGTCTTGTTCACTGGCTGTATCCTCAATGAACAGTTCCTGGTACACAGTAGGTGCTCAATAAATATTTATTGAATGAATGAATAAATGAAAGATTATGTTAGGACCTTAAATATTAACTATATTGAAGGTAAAAGAGTAAGCTTTTCTATAATGGAACAACTAATCAATTTTGGACAAACATATTGTACATTACGGATGAGCTATTTCACATAAAAGTATAATCTACTAGGTACCTACTGGAAGCTTTGTTGGATGAGGGTCAATGAGAGTTTTGTGACTGTTAGATCTGGTGGCAATGTTGTTTGTTTGAGATGTGTTTCTACCTATTCCCACCATTTTTCCAAGAAGAATTTGAAAAGAAGGAAGCAATCTTAGAAACGATCTCCCAACTCTTTTATTTTACTGATAGAAAAATTCAAAGAGGGGAAACAATTAGCTAATGTCATAGGTAGAGTCAGACTGGAATATAGGACCTTTAGTCTTCTAATGTAATCTACTTTTCTCCATCGGAGTGCAAGGAAAACACATCTATGTTTGAGATCACAGAAATAATTGTATACACCTATCTAAAGGTCTGCATTCCTATTGAGCTGAAAATCACTTATTTTTTCTTCACTGTTATATAGAAATGTATTACCCCCCCCCCCCATAATCATCAACTTTAAATTATTTTAGAGATACGCTGTGGTTTTACTGATTGTTTCTGAACGTGTGGAGTGAATTGGCTAATTTTGGCTGTTTTCAGGATGAGCAGAAACTCTTTGGAGTTCTCTCAAGTCAGCCTTTGACTGGAGTCATAGACAGGGCTGAAATCAAATGGGATTATACGGACCTTAGTGTCTTTTCCCTTGAGACCCCTGAAGACGTGACGGCCACACTTGGCCATAGAAGCTTGATAAATAAATGAAGCAATGATAATGTTCCTTGAGCAGTTACCTAACAGCTTCTAGGAAATTTTGTCCTGTTTGGCCTTCTTTCTTTTTTTAATTCTTCATTATCACAGGGCACCCAGCCAAAGACAAATTAAAGAAAATAGCATCCCTACTACTGTGGAAACAACAGAAGCCAGAAATGAAAACCTACACAGTTTTCCTAGATATTGCTACCATAGGACTTCACAGAGTAGCAAGTGGAAATTAAAGGAGAATCATTCTTTAAATGATACAAAACTCATAATATAAAATGAGTTATATTAGCTCTTTATATGGACACGAAAACCTATTAAAAAATTAAAAGCTATTGAAACTACAACACATGTTGTATTAGTAAGGCAACATATGTTACTAAATTTTGAAAAAACTCTGTGTTCTTTATTGAATAACTACTACCCAGAGCCTCCAAACGCCTGCCAACCTTTCTACTCTGATTGTGCCAGGCCCTCTCCACCTCCCCTGGGAACCCCAGGATCAGAGGCTCGTCCAGTGTCGTGATGGCCAGCATCTGTCCTGATTGGTGGGGCGGAGCCTTCCCCATGGTCAATGATCCTCCAGAAACGGTCCTCCCTTAAGAGATGAGCGGTCTCACCTTGCACATATTGGCCAGCCAGCTTTCTTCTCCCTTGTCTATAAAACCGTGAATAATGAAGCGGGTTTTTCTATCCATTTTGAAGTTGGAGACCTCAATAGTTGATGGATCTGCAACGAGTTCCTATTTGGGGGAGAAAAGTATCGAGTGTCAAGTTTCCTACAGACTCCAGTAGAACTGTCTGTACAGGGAAGTAGGCGGCAGGAGAAGGTTCCCCGGACTCGGGAGCCTTGTGAGGAAGGAAGGGTTCTCCCAGGTCAACCACACCCCCTGCGATCACCGCCGAGTCGCTACGTTCCAGACGTTGCAACATGTTTGCAGTTGTTCAACTTGGGATAATATGTGTGCTGTAACACTGGTGGTAGGGGTCTCATCCCCATGCAGTGAAAGGTGTGTGTGTGTGTGTGTGTGTGTGTGTGTGTGTACAAATATTTTATATGCGTAAAATATGTTGGAAGAACCTGGCCAGAGTGGCTCGGTTGGTGGGAACATTGTCCCGTGCACCGAAAGGTTGCCGGTTTGATACTGGTCAGGTACATACAGGAGACAACAGGTTGATGTTTTCTGTCACTAAGATGTTTTTCTCTCTCTGTCTCTCTCTAAGCATATCCTCAGGTAAGGATTTTAAAGAATATATTGGAAGAGTATATATAATATTGAGATATATATGTGTGTGTGTGTGTATAAGTATACATATATTCATATTTAAAATTTTTTAAATGGTACCATAGTGGTAGGATAGGAACAATATAGGTGCTGGACCTTTTATAAACAAAGTTACATAAAATAATACTTAAGCTTACAGTCCTAAAAGTGTACAAAGATGTAAATTCCACTGATTTACTCCCTTTAACAAACTTAAAATTCAAGATCCTTGTCATGGAAGAGATGGAACTCAGTTCTGAAAACACTGAGCATGCTCACCTGGAAGGAGGTTGGGTTCTCGTTGGTGTACAGGAGGAAGCGGGTATTGACCTCTTTGGGGCCCCAGGGCAATATTTTGAGGGGTCTTTCCACAATTCCTGCCCAGGGGGCCTCATCGCTGAAGCAGCCAAGTCTCTGGAAGCAGATTTGTTTTCCTGCAATCACCCAGAAGGGGTTCAAGGATATGAGTTTAGCCAGAATGTTCTTTATAACGGTCTCTCTGGCAAAATATGAGTTCAATGATATTTTGTGGCAGATGTTCCTCCTCCTTATCCCCAAACGTCTTCCTATCTATGCATTCACCAAACAGCTTCAATAGACAACATCCAAGCTAAAGACAGGCTGTGGCTCCTCGTCTCTACCAGGTGGGACCCCCTCGCTCCCTTCATCTCTCTCTGCGGTCCTGTGTGGGGTCCCGTGTAGCCTCTCCACTCAGATGTCTTTCATGAGCCATTGGTTCCCAATAAAGAGCAAGCCTTGTGTCCCCAGGCCTTGGTAGAGGGGCGAGACTCTCAGCTCCCCACAATAGCTACTACTCCTACTATTAATAGAGACTTTGTCCTCCTCAAGGACCCTTCCTTTGTGTTGTTCTTTTATGGGGTAACATTTAAGCCTAGAGTTGAGTCAAACCATGGATATTCTCAAAACATGGCTGTGTGCCAGGTGCTGGGCAAGATGTTTTACATGACTAAGTCGCACATTGATCCTATGAGAGCAGTGGACGTATACGCCCATTTCACAGATGATGATAGTGAAGCAGAGAGGTTAAGAATTTTGCTCGGGCAATACATTTGTGGCTGGTGGAACTGGGGTTTAAACCTCACAGGATGCCAAGGAAGGTTGCTGAATTTAGCAAATAACGATACAAGTTAGAGTATCATAGAAATAATGAATAGTTTTTAGAGAAAGCTACTGCATTTTTGTTGTTGATCTGAAATTCAAATTCAAGTGGGTGTCTTAGCTTTTATCTGGCAACCTCACTCCAGGTGCTCCTGCTCTTAATCATGCACCTTTATGGCTCTGCTCCTTACCCTCACTGTGGCTTGAATTCAGCCGTCATAGCCCTTCTTGCAAGTACTCAGCACCATATAAATATACTTACTTACCTACTACTGCTCCCAGCAGCAGAGAAAATGTCCAGGTTAGAAGCATCTAAACAAAGTTAAAGATACGAGTGAATCTGGCTCAGTTAGTTTCAAAAGATTGGCATCATTCAAGTTCAGTTGGCCCTTTGGGGGGGGGGGGTAGGTAAATACTAACGAACGAGGCTTGGAAAACGTGTTCCCGACTCACCGTGGCAGTCCCGGCAGGTCCCGCACACAACCAGATGGCACTCACGGGCCCTTTTATAGGCAAACCTTATCTCTTTGTTCCATGGAAAAGTGACTTGAAAGGAGCGGAGGTTCCAAGGATGCATTTCTAATTTTAATCACAAACAAACTGAAATTGACAGAGTAGGTAAAGTTTCCCACGGTCCCTGGGGTAAGACGGGGAAAGGGGAGAGACGAGCAATTCTCTTCCAGTCTGATTATACGATGCTCAGAACCACCAAAATGTCATCGTGTTAACAGCTCTGGTCTGCCTCTCTTCAAATTTACAGTTCTCGGTGCAGGTCTGTGGGTATGTGTGAATAAAATTGTTTTCACAGGTTTGATAGCAACATTCTTCAAAGCAAAGACGAAAAGCTTACCTGCACAGCCAGTGTGTGCTTCACCTTGCCTTAGCCTCCAAAGCAGTAAAACAGAGGCAATTCTTCAAGGAAGTTTATTCTTTTAAGGAAAGCACTTGATATTTTGCTTCAACAGTCCATAGAACAAGTTTATTTCTCAACAAGAATATGGAAAAAAAGAATAATTGAACTGACAAAAGGAATTGGAGATACTTCTAAGAGTATAGAGGTGAAATTAGTGATCCCACCATCGAATGAAATTATGAATAAGAGAGAAAGATAAAATTAAACTTGGAAAAAAGTTGTCTGGAAAAAAAAATAATCTGAAAGAGAAGTATCTGATAGAAAAGAACTAGGATATTTTCAGTTGGTAATAGATTGCTTAAGATAAAGTTTTAAACTACAGTAGTGGGGTATCGTAATTTTAAGAAACTGTTGCCATTTAGTGTGACAACATCTCAGATACAGACTGAATCATTTGAAGTTGCCACATTTGTAGGTCAAAAAATTCAGTTCCCTGACATAGTTTACAGATTCAGAAAAAAGCAATACAATGATTTGTCTATGAGGCAAGTTCAAGAAAGTTGGGTAAAGGAAATGTTAAAATCAGGGACAGAAGGTGCAAGAAGGAATTCCATGAATGGCACATAGCAGATCCTTAACATCTCCCTGTTGAATGAATGAACAAACAAATGAGGAAATAAAAATAGAAAGCAATTTATTTTGCATAATTGCTACAGTAAAAACTGCCTGTACAATCTCACAGTAAAGAACTGTGATTTTCTGAAGCCCTTCTTACTCAAACCAAGCAAATAAACCAACAAATCCCCCAAATGTGAGCCAATGTTCACTTTGGAGTTTACTATGAAGTAAAATATATTCTGCGTGAATTATGAATAATTCACACAAATTTCTAAATTGGCATTTTAGATAGTACAAAATTTAATCCTTAATTCAGGTGACCTTTGTTCAATAGAGGCTATAGAATTAGGACCAAAAGTCACCGAATTCTGAGACAGAGACTAGAGCCCATGGGGAATTAGTTTATAAACTAAAATAGGTTCAATTTTTAGAATGTTTTGGGAAGATTCAATTTTGTGGAACTTTACATAATCAGTAGTCTCTCAGGTGAACTTTGGATAAATGACTGCTCCTAAATTCAATTTTGCTGAAACTTTCATCTAGGTTATACAATTTTATCAACCCTATTATGCCATTCAGACCATCATGCGCTGTCTAGGGCCATCTGTTTATAGAGTATGTGGCAGAGGATGGTGACTCTTCTTTTTTTTTTACCCTTACCCGAGGACATTTTTCCATTTTTTGTTTAGATAGAGTGGGAGGAAGAGAGAGAGAGAGGGAAACATCGATGTGAAAGGGACACATCGAGTGGTTGCCACCCACACGACCCAACCAGGGCCGGGGACAAACTGCAACTGAGGTACGTGCTCTTAGCGGGAACCGAACCCGGGTCTCTCTGGACTGCAGGCTGATGCTCTAACTGCTGAGCCAAACTGGCCAGGGCAAGTGCCTCTTCTTATGTGGAATAGAACTAGACTTTATTACCCAATCTCCCCTGCAGAGGCATGGACCACATAGTCAACTTTTGGCCAATGAACTGTGAGTGCATAGATGTGCACCAGTCCTAATCTTGTTCATAAAAACCCACACATGATCTTCTCATGCCTCGCCTTCCATGGCTTCATGCAGGAAAGTACGATGACCTTGAAAGCCATATACTGAAGCTGGCAGAGTCACGAGATGGAAAGAGCCTGGGTTCCTTGCTTGAAAGCCAGCCATCAATCATGAAGACCCATTTTGAATTTTATATGAGCAAGAAATAAATTTCCATTGTTTTTAGCCACTAATATTTCAGAGTTATAGCAATGAGCTTATTAATCAATAGAGATTATTGTATTGTAGGATGATTTCTCCGACTTCCAAGAACAGTTTAGGTACCAAACATCGAATCCTGGGCTATAAATTTTACCATGAGATCTGGATGGTACTTATGTATAACACTGATGCTTTGACAGATTTTTTTCTAATTCTTCACTTTAAAAACCCCCTTTCTTGACACTTCGCAAATTATCAAAGTTAACTGTTCAATTCTTCATTCCATTTCTGTAGAATTTTCATTTTCATGGGAATTTTCCAGTTTAATCCTGATAGTGACCACTGTTTTCACAAGCAATCTGAAGTGTATGATACCTCAAGGTTTAGTGGAAATGTAGCCAATGTTGCCCGAGCCCTCAGGTGTAATTTATGTGTGATTGAAGCAGTTCAGTTTTCTGGATACATAGGGAACTCTCAAATCCACAGGGAGGTGGGCTGGAGCTCCCGCCACCAGCCTCTGTTGCTCTTCACGTCTGCGGATCGTGGGCTAAAGGTGGGCCCTGTAGAAGGTGATAAAGCCACGCAGTCCTTCCCCAGGGAGCTCATGGCCTTGAAAGTAGACTCCCATTGAAAAATAGTTCTTGGATTCAACAGTGCATTACATAACATTGACTCAGCTTTGACTCTGAAACCTTGGACGCTTACAAATAAAAATGTCAAACTTGTTAAGTTTCTAATCCAATTGCTTTGATTGTGAAGGAGTTAAATATTGATATAAGTTTAGGCTCTGATTCTAGCAACCTTGTGATACCAAACTCCAGGTAAGGGAAAGACAGGCCCTGGGGCACCTGTGTGGCCAGATAACGAGCAAGTGAAGCAAACAAGGTCTCATTTACTTAACCTTCAGAGAGCCTCCCTTATCCGGCTCAGTCTGCTGCCAGGCCAGGGGAAGGGAGGAAGGCTTGCCTGGGGATGCTGAACTTCCCTGAGCAGAGGACTGTGATGATCTGGGGTTGCTGTTGCCTCACAATTCCCAGGGCCACCATGCCATCAAACACGAGAAAGTTCAGTTCACCCAGACTCAGAGAGTGAGACTGTAGTCAACCCTTCTCCATTATGCATGAAGATAATTTACTCTGTGGAATAGAATAACAAGCACACTTAAAATTTTATAGCATTAATTATTTAGCTTTACATACTTTCAAAGTTTTGCATTTAATCTTCCAGAGAACCTGTGGAAGTTTCAGTGATCTTTCTTATGAAGACAGCAAGACTGGGGGAGTTCAAGCAACCTGCCCAGTAACACGCGGTTGGAAAGGAGCAGAGCTCATTTTGGAGGGCAGATTCCTTCCACCAGCCCCACGTGAATTGTTGGTGGGAATCCACAGAAGGCCACATTCTCCTGGGCTGGGTTTGTCTAGAGTTGATCTAAAAATGGTCAAGATAGGGCACAGCAGGAGGTGTAAATACATGTGTATACACACATGTACAAGACTAGGTGCCTGTTTTGAGAACAAAGTCACACACATATTTTTGGATAATCGATTTTATTTGTATTTAGCTTTCCTACTACAAATGCAACAAATGACAATTTTATCACATAAAAATACTTTTTCCCTGGCCGGTTTGGCTCAGCAATTAGAGCATTGGCCCGTGGACCAGAGAGACCTGGGTTTGGTTCCCACTAAGGGCACGTACCTCGGTTGCAGTTTGTCCCCAGCCCTGGTTGGGGTCATGTGGGTGGCAGCCAGTCGATGCGTCTCTTTCGCATCGACGTTTCTCTCTCTCTCTCTCTCTCCCTCGCGCTCTATCTGAAAATGAATGCAAAAATGTCCTCGGGTGAGAATAAAACAATATATATATACTATTTTCATGACACTGAATATAATATTTACTTCTTTCCTGGCCATCACAGTAGTTTTCTAGTTGCTTTTCTTGCCCTTAGACTGTCCCCTCCCTTGTCTGTCCTCTACATACCACCGGGCAGTGAGGTTTAAACGGCAGACAACCATGCCTTGTTCTTCTCAAAGCCCCAGCCACCTGCCCCTGCCCTGTGCTTTCTAGATCAGGACTGTCCAGTGGAAATATATTGTAAGCCACATAAGAAAAAGTAAAAAAAAAAAAAATAGGTGAAATATATTTTAATAATGTATGTAACCTAAAATATTCTCATTTCAACATGTGGCACTAGCTCATTTCCAGTGATCGATGGTCACCTGTGGCTAGTGCCTCTTTGTACTGGATAACACAATTCTAGATTAAATATACTCTTCTTAACATCACAAATAAGACTTTACAGATCTGGTTAGCCTCTCTGAGGTTTCTAACCTTGCTGAATAACCATTGGACCCATTCTTCCAGCTGCTCTGAACTCTTTTTAAGATGTAAACTCTCAAAGGGTTTGAATGGATTCTATCTATAGGACACTTAAAGGATGGAGTGACAAGAGTTCCCAGATGTCACTGAGCAGGAAGACAGAGCAAATTGGTAGAGATGTAAAATTCAACAGACCCAGAGATCACTGCTTGGATATGGGGAGCTGAGATGAAAAGGGGAAAAGAGACAGCAAGCAGAAAAGAGGAAGGAAGGAAGGAAGGAAGGAAGGAAGGAAGGAAGGAAGGAAGGAAGGAAGGAAGGAAGGAAGGAA